ACAGTAATCTGGGTAGCAAGGTACGAGGGGGGGGGGGAGATACAGAGATTTTAAATTGTCGAAAACATCAGATGGAGTCCCTTGAGTGAGAGCTTTAACTAGGGTGGGAGCAATGGCAGGCTTGGTACCTAAGAGAGACCTAAACAGAGACCATGTAAAGCGCGAATGCAGTGCGGAGTCAAGGCCGTCACACAGCGTGTTCTAACGAGAGTGCTCGAGGGAAGTGCCGTAAGCGATAATTTCAGCCCGCAGAGCATCAATGCGGGAGGAAAGTTGACCGTTGTGTGGCTGGGAGCGGAGGGAGCGTTTCAAACGTTGAAGACGTCACCATAAACGGAAGAAGTGAGGATCAGGGTCAGAAATTGGGATTTGAAAACGAGCGCGGCGACTACAGGATGTCATTGCTGTGGAGATCCGCGACGTCTAGTCGTAAGTTTTAAAGGAGTCAGACAAAAGGTTATTACGGAATGCTTCCCAGTCAGTGTGAGCGACTCGTTATTTCCGCCTGTTGTGGGAAAGAGGGTTGGTGATGTGTATGAGAAAGTCATCACTGAACAGGTTTTCAGCGGACACCTGCCAGTGAAAAGGAACTCCTAGCGAAAGTGAGATCGGGTGGAGTGCAGCGCTGCGAAACAGTGCCCGCTCGAGTAGGGGTGTCAGGGGTATTAGGAAGGGTGAAGTGGCGTTACTGGGCGAGGCAGTGTAGAAGGCGACCTGGTTTGAGTGTTTGGAGGTAATCCCAGAGCCTATGAAAAGCATTAAAGTCACCCCCAAGGAGAATATGTGTGGTCGATGTAAGAGAGCGCAGGAATTTGTCAAGAGCACTAAACAAAGAGGACGAGACAGGGGGGTTGTAAAATGACATCAGAGCGAGAGAAATACGGGTAGGTGGTTGGTAATAGACCACACCAACTAAATATTTCAGGAGGGGGGAGGGTACGTCTAGTGGTTCATCGAGAACGTCATTGCGTACATAAATGGACGTAAGTGGCGTTCCCGTCGTAGCGTGATATGCATAGTAGCCCGGGACGGCAAGGGCCGTCCGAGTCTCCTGTATAAGGAGAAAATGGGGTAATGTTTGGCGGGTGAGAAGATATTGGTGGAGAGGGGTCCTATTATGACGAAAGTTGCGGCAGTTCCACTGCAAAATATCAAGGTCCCTTTCACGCGCCATCTAGGTCTTTGAAGTAGAGGAAGCGCCTGTGCCTGCGCGTTCCTTCTTTTTTGCCGGGGGAAGCGACTCTTGCAGAGAGTTAAGCATATGGGTGAAATATTCCAGTTGCTTAGATTGGGTTTCGAGGGTCGTAAGAATCCGGACAATTAAATTTTCCAGCTGGACCAAACGAGCAGTGGTGGTGGTTTCGACCATGTCGACCAATTTAGTTACATGGGAGCTTGAGGTCTGGGCGGTGAGTGTGGCGAGTTGCTTATTTAGCTCCGTGAGTTGAGAGGTAAGAGAGGATGTGGTAGTTGCGAGTGTCTGCGTCAGTGCGAGTATTTTCTGTTGTAGCTCATCTGAGACGCGTTGTTGCTCGCGCTGGTTGCGCTCCAACATAGGCAGTCGCAAATCGAAGGAACGGCTCTCGTTACTTAATGATGGTGAAGGTGTGTTTGATGAAGAAGTGCACACGGGAGGTGTGCCCTTAACCTTAGTGGCATAAGAGCCCGGGGGGGGGGGGGGGGGATGTTGCGGGAGGTGATAGGAACTCATGCGCTAAGAGGAGGGCGGCGAAGGCTGAGTGGCTCGGCACATGGCTGTGCGACGGAGAAAAGCTGCTTTGGTGCAGTCGCGTTGCTTAGCTAGAAGGTAGGGGCAGGTGGAGTCGAGAGATGAGTGGGTGTTGACTTCGCAATGGATGCACCAGGGTTGGGCGCAAACATGAGCATCGGGATCTGCTGGTAGAGGAGACGCACAGCGGCGGCACTTGGCCGGAACGCTGTGTTGGGGGCATTGATGAGCACGGTGCCCTATAGCAAGGCACCGAGTGCAAGTAGGGGGCTTAGGTTTATGTGGACGACATCGGAAAGAGACGCGTTTAAAGTACACAAAGCGAGGTATGATGGTTCCAGCAAGTGTTATGAGGACGGATTCAGTGGAGCCCATCATACGTGCAGCGAGTATGTCTGAAGTAAAGGATTCGAGGTCATGCAAGAGCTGAGATTATGTGAAGTGACCACCGACGTTGTGTATGACGCCGAGACGTGATATTGGAGGACTGGGGGCATAGGGCTTAATGGTGATCGGCTTACCATTAAGTTCTAGACTTGTAAGGGACAGTAAGAGGTGGGCAGTGAGAGGTGAGTGCGTTTTCAAAAACACAAGGCTCTGAGCAGGTTTGGCCTGAAGGGTGACCTCTGCACTGGTCTAGGGAGAGAGATTTGCGGCGGCTATGATGGTAGAAAGCAGATCATAGAGAGACAGTTTCGGCGTGAGTGTTTCGGGTGGAAGTTAGATTCCGACGGCGATGAGCTCGGAGCGGGGGTGGGCGGTCGAGGCAGGTTTTCTATTGGCACTAACGGTGTTCCAGCTGCCTTCAGGGGATGGCGTATTGTCTTCGTTGACCTGCGACGCCGTGAAGTCCATTTCCGTCGACAAGTCGTCAGCTGAAGTGATGGAAGGCAAAACTTCGGAGATGTAAGGAACGATGCTCGTTGAAACGCGCTTGTCGACAGACTCAGAATTTCCAGTAGGTAGGCCAGATGCAGATACGGTGGGGAGAGCAGCAGGCGTGGTTGATTGCAACGCCAACGCTGTATTACGGCTCTCGGGCTCCGGCGTTTGCGTGGCTATCAAGCTGGGAGTAGCAGAGACGCCACAAGCATTGCACGTTGCTGGACCGTGCGCGCTGTTGAGGAACGCTGCCTGTTGCTGTATTGTTGTCGGCGCGGGGCTGGTGACATTGCCAGATGTTGACAGCGGAAGCACGGCTGTATCAGCGGTACGACCGGAGGAGGCTGGGCTTACCGACAGGGCGTCAGTTGTCGTTGGTGTCGAGTGCTGGGTGGGACGCTGCATCGCGGAGGTGCAGGCGCGGCGCGTTAGGGTTAGCGCAGTGCCGCGCCGCTTCGTACTTTTGAATGGGCCTAAGGGGCCCGGATGGTGTCGGCGTGTCCCGGAAGTCTTCTAGACAGAATAGTGAGCTTGTCCAGGCACGGGCGGGGCCCAGTAACGGGCCAAAAACACGTGAAAGAGGAGCACTTGTATGCGGCCAGCCAAACAAAGCGACGCCACCTGGTGACCTCCTTAAATACCTAGCATTTTAAAGACATTTCCTTTCTGTCCAGCTTTAGAATTGCTGGCATATACTTTTATAACTTTTTGGCAAAAGCGGCATACTTACTACATGCCACATGTATTTGGCTCTGAAAGGAATGACTTACACAATTTTTGTGAAGCATTCGTTTGGGATGTGCTTTGTGGCACATGTGCCTAGTGGCACATGCACAGTGTATGCAGGTGTAGTATTGAATACTTTTTTTAGGAGAGAATAACAGCGCTGTCGATGAAATAAAGAGAAGGAAATGGACACACATGCTGTGTCTGTATATTTCACCCCACCTTTTCTTTATATATAGTGGTAAACCATGTCGTCCTCATAAATTTATGGCTAAATCAAGTCTATGCAAATGCAGCCTAATTATTGAGACACTTGATTAATGTGACCCAGCAAACATTGCCCTAACTTGACGCAGTATATTCTGGCTCTATTATGAGTCATAAGATTGCTTGGCATAGACACATAATAAAGAATGATTGGTATATAAAATGACGACAAAGGACAATTCATGACAAAAAATCATGACATTGAGAATAACATTGGTGCAACATCGCTTGTAACCTAGGTCTCAGGTTTTATCTCTTTCCCTGTTGAAACAACCTCATATACTCTGTTAATTCTTTGTTAAAAATGGCTCAATTAGTAATTAGTCACCAAATCCCTACTCGTTCCTGAGACGTACCTATACTGTATAGAAGAAAATGTGTTTCTTCGCTGTTTTTCATAGATGGCCACAGCAGTACAGGGACAATGCATACATCCCTGGCATCATCAAAGCCATAGAGGAAATCAGGGTGTGAATATCGCTTTATTTTAAATGCACTAGATAGTGATATCCTATTACATATGAGTGCTAGGTCTTTGGAACCCTTTGTACTTTCTTCTTCAGCTTTAGAACTGCTGACACGCTTTTAACTACCTACAAGACTGGTATACTCATTTTCTGTTTTTTTTTTTGTTATAGAACCTATGCATACCAAAGTGAAGCTTCTGCTCCTATACTGAACTCTTAAATGAATAACTCCCTCATTTATTGTGTGGAGCTTTTTTTCACAATGGGCTTAGTAGCATGCACTGAAGGTGTACTACTGAATACCTACATCTATTTTAGGGGAGAATCGGGCAGCACTGTAGATAAATGAGATAGAAGGCAACAGGCACAACTTGGGTCTGCCATTTGCACCTTATATTTTAATTATGGTGCTGTTTTATTTCTTTCTCATAAAAAAACTTCATGGCGAAATTCAGTCTTGGCAAATCTAGCACAGTCCCATCTTTAAGCTACTGTACAAATTTTTTGTAGAGCAGGCAGGCCTGCGAAAAAAAAAAGAGCTTGATTGAGGCTGCAAACGCAGGTTGTTTTTGTCCCATTGTGTATCAGAAGATGGTCAGCATAGACAAATAATAAAAATTACTGGAGAAATCAGTCATACCAATAGAAAATAATTATACTCAGCAGGGCATTAATGCAGTATTGTGTGTTACCTTGGAAATGGTTTTTTTTTTTGTTTCTTCGTTGATGCAACCACATAATTTTGTATAACATGGAAAAGTCTCCGCTGGCAATTTGTCACCTGAGTTGTAATCCCCACAGGGCTTGCTTCATAATACATTTACCGTGCAGCTGAAAGTTTTTTTTATTTGCTGAATATTGCATAAAACATGGCTAGAACTGTACATGAACTGCGCTTGCATGTGTGGCATCAACAAACCCACACAAGAAACAGAGTTATGAATATCAGTTTATTTTAAGGCACACAAGAATATCACATTCTACTTTGATGCTGACAGGTAAAAGATTGAGGAAACTAATTTTTTCCATACATACTGTGAACAAATTAGAAATTCTTCGTTGTTGCAAACTCATTCAGCAAGAAAGCAAAAGCCAGTGATTTGTGCAACATAGTGGTCATATGAAATAAGACACACTGATTACGGGTTCGTTACAAGCCACTTTATGGATGTTTCCCAGGAACACATGTTTTCTTAGCCCCTTTGCGATAGCAAGCATGTAGTTCTAAACAAGGCACCCAACATGGGAGGGTTTAAATGTACGAGTGTTTTTTGGGTGCATTGAAGACCACAGAAGACAATAAATCTATCTGTGATAAAATACAGTGTACACCGTGGTATAAATGACAATGCATCTTCTCTTGCTTCCTGCAACAAGGTGAAGCATGATTAAAATAAGGCACATCTTTCCTTTAAAGTTGAATACATGTGGTAATCAAGCTTTCAGAATTAAGACGTTGTAAGGCACTGATTTCATATATAAGCAAATAGTATGTACCGGCGCAAAGAGGCGCCAGCTATGTGCCAGCGTGAAAGAATACGACGTTCGTATGGCTCGTGCTTGTCGGATTTCTGCCTGAACCAGCTTGTTGTGGCCAACGCTTCGTCAATAACTGTTTGAGGCACTCTCACTTGTTGCATTATGACAAGTTGTAAAGAAGTGACTGTCGTGATTGGGATCAAACTCCCGAACTTCGGGTCGGCAGGTGAGCATCTTAGCCCCTGATCCAGTGGTGGACGTAACTTTAAGCAGTCGTAAAACTCTGGGGTAGAAAAACTGACTGCTTCACAGAATGCCTGAATTCACTTTTGGCTTTAATTGTGATTTTCACTCTATATGGTCTACAAATATTTCACTCACCAGTATTGTCACTGAAACGAGCAGTAAATTTTTTTTACGCACGCTCTTTAAAGTTATTATGGTGAGATTTCCAAAGTCTGTTTCAGCCATACTTGAGAAGGCAAAGCCTCACTGTGGGCTCATAACCTGTGGGACATGCCCGCATTTCATGTGTGTGCACCAGATGTGTATGGGAAAGGGTTTCATGATTTACCTGACAGGTATTTCATGTCGTTCAAGTCCTGATGCGTCAGTCATGTTTGTCATACACTCATACTTTTATATGCCAGTTTTGGTATGTACTAGTAAAAAAGGTGATCAAGCAAGCATCCAGACGTAGGCAGCTAGCTAGATGGATGTGTAAAAATGGTAAAATACTTTTATTTTCCTAAAAAATGCTTTGATACTTGGATGGTGCACACACTTATCAAGACCAAATTGGAAGATAATTTGGAACATAGTAAAAGATTGTGCATGTGACAACCTTTTTTATATTTTAAGAGTAGAGCTGTTTAAGCAGAGCATCGGTTTGCGATGGGAAAACAGAAATAACTATCATCATGAACGGGCACATGCTCTCTTTGGCCTCTTGTTCATCTTTTTCCTGCTGTGCTTCACTCCCAGTTCACATGTGCTGATACGTAAGGCATGGGATGCACTAACACTGATGGACTAGAAAATGAGTACAAAAGAAACAAAATGTTAAAAAAATTCTCAACGAGATGGCATTCCAATCTACGTACTGACAATCCGAAAACAATCACTCGGCTATCCAGGCTCGCTAGCAGAATTTATCATAGCTTTTTACAGTATGGTGTGCAAGGGGGTTGGAAAGATAAGCGAGAGTGAGGAACAGGGAAAAAAGGCGAGGAAAGAACAAGGTGTTGCATAGAAAGAATGATGAAGAAACAGAATAAAAAGTGAGAAAAGAAGGTGGAAAAAGGAAATAGAATGTAATATAAATAGACAATAAGATAGATAAATTGTAAAAAAGAAGACAGGAATAACAGATCAAAAATAAGAGGAAGAAATAAACTAATAACACTAAACAATGAGGGTTGTTCAGTATCACTTTTTGAGGCTTGGCACCACTATTGCAAATCTGCCTCAAACTCTTGTCCCATTGTTACCACGTGAGAACAACATTCTGCACTGGTTGCAGATTAAATCAAAGGCCTGAAAAATGTGTCCTGCCGACCTTTCTTGAGGGACCAAGCCTGCACAAAAAACTCTGAAGCAGATATTCTTACTCTACTGATGAGGCCCTGCGATTGACCATGAGGATCGCCTTTGCAGAAGAATTAATACAAACATTTCTTCTTTTGTCGCTGCTAAATTTTGCAAGACATTAAGCGACCATGTTCAGAACTTCAGCAGCTGTTTTGTACTTTACAAGGAAGAAAGTTGTGTCATTTCGCTAAGTAACACTCGCACTTATTTCTTGGCTCTTGCCCTTGATATTGTGTTCAGGCAAATCACACAGATGTAATTGGACTCAAGCTTTTGTCCCACAAGCACCCCATGCAGCCAGAATATACCAACGAAGTAATTGTTCTTTATTTTGTAATCAGCATCCATATTTTAGCCATTCTGAATGTCGGTTTCATCATCTCTCTTAAATTTTAATGAAAGATCTCTCTCAGAAATGTCCCATATATAAGATACGGTAAAAAGGCCTTTTAAATTACATTACTTGACATTTGTCATCCCCTCTTCCACTTCAAATTTCTTCACTGTGCTAGCCTTTCAGGACTAAAGTATGTGATTGTCGTCCACCAGATCAGGGAAGTTTGATACCTTTGGTGTTCTTCTAATGGCGTGCTTTCTTATAAGGATAGTTGCGAGACGCAGAGGTGTGTATTTGTTCTTGTTGCGTCCTAGTTTTTTCGTTGTGTTGATTTCAACATGCATACAATGCATCTGCGCAGAGATTTGAAAATAGTCAGCACAACAGCAGATAAAGCAACACCAGAGACACGAGGGCAAGCACGGGTTTCCAACTGAAATTTTATACCACATACGATATATAGCTCCCACTTAAAATAATAACATGCGCATGGTAGGGAAAAACAAATAAGCGAAGGGGCACTGAAACAAACTGTAAAAAAAAACTAAGGCAAAATAGCGCATGATGATGAATACAGTTAAGCCAGTTCTTTAACAGATAGTAACATCGAAGGTTTAATGTCACCAGCTTCCTTTAGCTGTTCGTGAATGTTCATGTAGCCTCAATGATAACCCTGGCGCTATCGTAAAGGTGAGTTGCAACATCTTGTGTTTTCTCGAACAGAGGCTGGCAACCACATTATCAACAATCAGAAGCCAAAGAACCATCTCTGTGGTTTTTACTTTTTGACAATGTTCCTGCAACCCTATATTTAGGCGCCCGTCTCTTTGACTCACATAACTGTGGGCACAGAACCGAGGTATGCTGTAATCGATGCCTACTGCACAGTCAAGAAAGTTTTGCAGTGCATAGCTTGGCTATGGTTCAAAGGTTTTTCAACAACACTAGTTCAAGCACATAACTGAGATTGCTTATTCAGTGCGTTGGTCAAACAGGAACGTTTCTAACCGAATGGGTACAGAGAAATTTGCAAAGAGTAAAATACACGGGTAGAAACGTTTGTTTGGCTTGTCATAATTAGAAAACCATTGCCAGCACCTCTGAGAAAACACAAGTTCTTCCCACTCATCCTCATGATGGCACCTGTGCCCCACCGCAGTGGTATAGTGGCTAAAGTATTCGGCTGCTGACCCGCAGGTCGCGCGATCGAATCCCGGCTGCGGCGGCTGCCTTTCCGATGGAGGCGGAAATGTTGCCCGTATGCTCAGATTTTGGTGCACGTTGAAGAACCCCAGGTAGTCAAAATTTCCGGAGCCCTCCACTACAGCGTCTCTCATAATCACATGGTGGTTTTGGGACGTTAAACCCCACAAATCAATCAATCATCATGATAGCACCCAGAACCTTCAATACTTTTGACAGCAAAGAACTGGCTTATCTGGATTCATTGGCTAGTTCTATGTCGCCGCTTTTCGTTTTTTTTTTTGTGTGTGGTCTCTGTGATTTTATGCTTCACTTCGTTTTTTTGTTGTTGTTGTTTTCAGCATAAGCATGTTGTTTTAATCTCGGGTGTAGGGCAACACATTTGGGAATTGTGAGAAATTTCAATTGGATGTCGGCACTAATCCTCGTCTCAATTGTGTTGCTGTGTTTAGCACTGAGCAGTTTGAAGTATGAAATACCAACTAGTCCGCTGTCGCATGTTGCGTAGCAACCGTGGGGTGATAGCCACACGTTCACAGTCGAATTTTTTTATCGCTCGCGCAGCCATGGAAGCGAATAACGAGGCTTGATTGAGCATGCGGGTGCCACATGAGCACTTTCTATCAAAAGTGAATTTCGGGACCCTGATTGACTCATCTCCGCATCTAACGCAATGAAGAAACTTGGTCTGGTTGGCCATCGGAATTACATCGTGTGTTGCTTGTACTTTGAAAACAGGGTGGTCGGCAGCTTTTCTGAATGATGTAGTGGTTGAAGTACCGCACATTTCGCGTCTCACCTAACACTAGTTCGATACTACTACGCCTGTAAAATGAAGTATTTGACGAACAAGCGCAAGAACCAGAGCAGGTTGCCGAACGGCCGCTAAAACCACAAAGCTACAAGCGCGCCCAGCAAAACTGGCAACACGTACGGACTAACACAACGTCACCACCGCACACACAACAGAAATAAATATTACGGATGTCAATTAGAGCACTGAAACAGGTTGACGAATCCTAAACATCATGGCCATACAACACTTATTATACACTACCATTTGTCTGACGCAAGCTCAGGCAAACCACAACATTCAGCGGTTCCAAACACGAACACAATCTAACTATTCATGTTCACAAAGCACATTGCAACGACAAACGCAATTACACTGTGCGCCAACGACGTGAACACCGACCTGATTACAAACATGCAAAAAAATACGCCTGATATGTGCCTTCATTCATAGAGTTTCTTAATATGCCTTCATTACAGTGCCCTAGTACACTATACCTTTTTAGCACAAGAAAAGCTTCCATAGGTTGCGTGAACCGGCGTTGTAATCTTTGACGAAAAGCCGCAATGTTCTTCAAATCCGCCTAGATCCAAGCCAAGTTGGGTGAAAATAGCGTTTTCGTTATTTTGACCAGGTGAATATAGCATTCCAGCTATTCTCACCAGGTCGCAGCAGCGGCGGTATAATGTTCTATAATATGGGGTAGTTTGTTCAGGAAGGAGCCGTGGCTTACGCATTTGGTATCGACAGCCACGAGATAAAGCCACCTTAGCATGGGCTGTAACCTCAGGCTTTGCCTTTTATGCACTTCTGTGCTTTGATATTAGTAATAGCAGGGGTTTAACGTCCCAAAACCACCATACAATTATGAGAGACACCGTAGAGGAGTGCTCCGGAAATTTGACCACCTGGGATGCATTAACGTGCACCTAAATCTAGGTACACACACCTCAGTATTTGCGCCTCCGCCGAAAATGCAGGCGCCACGGCCGGGATTCGATCCCGTGATATGCGCTTGCATACATAATTGCTGACACGTCTGCTAAAAGCTTTCTAATGGGTTTGTTTGTACTGCATTCAAAACAAAATGTCAAAGCCACAACACACGGTTTAAATGTAGGTATTAACAATCAATAGCGAAGCAGTCATCCCTGGGTAAACTGCTTGCAGTTTTTAAAGCTCGGTTGGTGAACGAATAAGAAACTAGGAAGATTGATGTATCGAAGGAGCATCTATATAAACCCAAAAGTTTCTTGTTATATATTACTGCTATCGAGTCGCAATCTTCACACTGCGACAGCGTCCACTTCCTGCGTTACGTGCGCGGCACTGTTCTTGTCGGTATTTGCATCATGCAATTTTAGTTATGTTGTTAAGGTGATAAAACTGCCATTTGATTGATAGGCACGCCGTAGCTGAAGACTTGGGAATAATTTGACAATCTTGGGTCTTTAAACGATTACGTGCCCGCCAAAATGCTGCTGCTGTGGCTGGTATATTGGACTGTACGTACAGTCAAAAGAAAACATCACTGGGCACCACTGTCAGACTGTAAGAAGAAACCCTTTATTTACGAGCGCGCATACTGCAGTGAGCAGTAACACCAATTAAATTCGTCACCGTTCCGTGGAATTATCAGTTCACGATCACTTCATCATCATCATCATCAGCCTGACTACGTCCACTGCAGGACAAAGGCCTCTCCCATGTTACGCCAGTTAACATGGTCCTGTTCTTGCTGCTGCCAATTTATACCGGCAAACTTCTTAATCTCATCTGCCCACCTAGCCTTCTGTCTCCCCCTAACCCGCTTCCCTTCTCTGGGGATCCAGTTAGTTACCCTTAATGACCAGCGGTTATCCTGTCTACGCGCTACATGCCCGGCCCATGTCCGTTTCCTCTTCTTTATTTCAACTATGATATCCTTAACCCCCGTTTGTCCCCTAATCCACTTTGCTCTCTTCTTGTCTCTTAAGGTTACACCTACCATATTTCTTTCCATTGCTCGCTGCGTCGTCCTCAATTTAAGCTGAACCCTCTTTGTAAGTCTCCAGGTTTCTGCTCCGTAGCTAAGTACCGGCAAGATACAGCTGTTATATACCTTCCTCTTGAGGGATAGTGGCAATCTACCTGTCATAATTTGAGAGTGCTTGCCGAATGTGCTCCACCCCATTCTTATTCTTCTAGTTACTTGAATCTCATGGTTCGGCTCTGCGGTTATTACCTGCCCTAAGTAGACATAGTCTTTTACAACTTCAAGCACACTATTACCTATCTCGAAGCGCTGCTCCTTTCCGAGCCACTTCATCATGGTGGATCCTTAATATGAACAACGACCGATTTTCGCGTACAGCTTTTTTTTTTCGTTTTGCCTCACGAGGCTGGTTGATACCCTTCACGAAAAAATGAAGTCGTGACAGCACGTAAATTTCCACTCTCTTTGACACGAGATGCGGTGTGAACGAGCTCATATAAATTCAAGGTAAACAAAGCTTGAGCAAGCGTTCCGGCGAAGCTGCAGTCCCTGTAGTGTTTGCCACCTCGGGTTCGTAGTCAGTAGGAAGGTCCATCGATGTATCTGAATCAGTGGCCTCACCGTCAAGACAGGGTGCTGCAGTTTTCTTGGAGATGGTAGACTCGACCGCCGAGTTCTTCCGCTTTCTCGGAGGTCTTGGGTGCGGTGCTTTCTTCGATAAGTAGACTTCACCGTTAGGCAGTAACATCGGTACAGCGTCCGGCATTAGCTCGGGTCTCCTACGTGGTCCGCGAACTTCTTCGCCGTTTATAACGTGCACGTAGTTTCCGAGAACACATGAAGGCTCGAAGTGTAGCTCACATACAGAGCAGCTTTCGTTCAAGGACCCATCCTTTCAACGTGAATTCTGTTCCCAAACCTTCTTCCGTGCTTCGTCTTTGGGTGCTGCGAAATGCGACGGCTGCTCACTTTTTTTCCAATGGTATACCCTGTTTCGCAAAGCAGTGTCGTTGCCGCCGATGACTCGACATTGCCTCACTGCCGTGTGGCCAGCAAAGCATTGCTAGAAAAACTTTCGTTAAGCGGGCGCGAACACAAGCAACATGTCACTGAACAGCACCCGAGAAGGCACAGTGGCGCAGAGCTGACAAATCCTGTCAGCCCACGCTATGGCAGTGCCGCCTTAATGACCGGTTTTTTGTCCACGTACGACGCTTCACGCGATGCATGGCGAGAGAGGGTGCCTTAACACACTACCCCATATTCTAGTACACTATAGCGGTGGCCACATTCCCATGGTAGCTGAACGATGGATGGATAGATAGATGTGGCTGTACTCTTTAGATCGAGTGGCGGCTATCGCCACCTAGCCGTAATACTTTGTGAACTAACCATCAGATTTATCTTTTTTTCTTTTAAATAGGTTGAGGATTCGTGCTTTGCAGTGAAGGGTTCAATTTTCATTCGTGCCTCGACCTTAGCCACCAATCAGATAACCTCCTCTAGTTAAGTCTACCCGCTAAAAGTCTATTCTGCCCTCCCTGTTCCTAAACCCCATTGCTTTGAAAAACTCGGCGCCATCATCCTGACCTATAGGGTGAAGCCCTTTACAGAACATTATCAGGTGTTCGGCAGTTTCTTCCTCCTCTCCACATGCACTGCATACCGTGTCTACCCCTTCGTCTTTGGCCCGATATGTCTTGGTTCGCAATACTCCCGTCCTGGCCTCAAACAGTAGAGAACTACCCCGAGTATTATCATAGATCTTTTCCTTGGAAATTTCCTGCTTAAAAGTTCAATAGATCTCTAGTGCGGACTTATTATTCATGCCAATTCTCCACATGTCCGTCTCCGTTTCCTTCACTTTCTTCTTAACCGGTAGTTCTTTTTGGTTTGGCCCCCAGCTGTTTTCTAAGTATTTACCAGTGAATTTCCTGGTTCGCTTCCTCCATTTCGTGTCGACATTCTTCATGTACAAGTAGCTGAAAACCTTCCTAGCACAACGCTCTTCCCCCATTTCTCTCAATGGCTTCTCAAATTTTATCTTGCTGCTAGCTTCCCTGCCCTCAAATGATGTCAATCCCATATCACCTTGTACTCCCTGATTTGGTGTATTCCCGCGAACTCCTAAAGCAAGCCTACCTATTCCACGTTGCTTAATTTCTAATCTTGCTTGAACTTCTGATCTCATGCACAAGACAGCATTGCCGAACGTCAGCCCAGGAACCATGACCCCTTTCCATATTCCTCTCGCAACATCATATCTATTGTAATTCCACAGTGGCGTATTTTTCATCGCTGCTGCATTCGTGTTACCTTTAGTCATCACGTATATTTCGTGTTCCCTTAGGTACTCGGTCCCATTGCTTATCCATATGCCCAGATATTTGTATTTATCTGTTACCTCTAGCGTGACTTCCTGTATCCTAAGCTCACAAACTTCATTATCATTAAAAATCATGACTGCTGATTTTCCTTAATGAATCTGAAATCTAACCTATCTTCCTCATTACCGCAGATGTCCATCAATCTATGCAAATCTTCTTTGTTGTCGGCCATTAGCACTATATTATCTGCGTGCATTAATGCTAGTAGTGCCTGATCAATGAGTATTACTTGTTTTACCAAAGAGAGGTTGAAGCCAAGTCCACTTCCCTCTAATTTGGCCTCTAAACCTTGTAGGTACGGCATGAATAACAAGGGTGACAGAGGACAGCCCTGCCTAAGCCCCCGTTTCACCTCTGTGGGCTTGGATACTTGTTTTTCCCAATTTATAACTACCTTGTTACTTTTATAGATTTCCTTTACAAGATTAGTGACTCCATCTTCCACACCTAGTGTGTGTCCAGTATTCCCCACAAGTCCTCTTGAACAACACTATCGCACGCTCCCTTGATATCCAAAAATGCTAGCCACAGGGGCCTGAGTTCTTTCCTGCTATTTCGATGAACTGTGTCAGTGAGAACAGATTGTCTTCCAACCTCTTCTGTTTCCGAAACCCATTCTGCAGTTCCCCCAGCACCCCCTCATCCTCTATCCATGCCTGCAGTCTTTCCTTTATAATCTGCATCGCCAGCCTGTAGACCACTGATGTCACTGTTATAGGACGGTAGTTGTTTATGTCAGCTTTGTCCCCCCCCCGCCCCGCCGCGGTGGTCTAGTGGCTAAGGTACTCGGCTGCTGACCCGCAGGTCGCGGGTTCGATTCCCGGCTGCGGCGGCTGCATTTCCGACAGAGGTGGAAATGTTGTAGGCCCGCGTGCTCAGATTTGGGCGCACGTTAAAGAACCCCAGGTGGTCGAAATTTCCAGAGCCCTCCACTACGGCGTCTCTCATAATAATATGGTGGTTTTGGGACGTTAAACCCTACAAATCAATCAGCTTTGTCCCCCTTTCCTTTATAGAACATGCTCATCTTGCTAAGTTTCCATCGGCCATCGGGGACTTCACCATCGATTATTGTTCTGTTCACTGCCTCTCTCAAAGGTTGTTTAGACTTCGGACCCAATGTCTTTATCAGCATAATTGGAATGCCATCTGGGCCTGTACATGTACTACTTGGAACCCTCTTCTCAGCTCTTTCCCACTCTCGTTGTGAAAATGGAGCCATTGCGCCACTTGATCCATCCTTTTATATCGTGGTGCATAAGGCACTTCTTTGTTGAAATTTTTCTGCCACCCTTGTTCTTATATATTCAATAGCTTCGTCCCCTTCTAGCCTAGCACCTTGAGCTGTAGTTATCAACCTCTGCTCTAGGCTTGTTTCATTTCTTAGTGAGTTTAGATGGTTCCAAAGTTTCGCAGCTGCCTTTCTGTCCTTTTTGTGTACTTTTGCCAGCCACTGAGCACCCTTTCTTCTAATCTTTTCATTGATCAGGAGGGATGCTTCCCTTCTAGAGCTTAGAAAAATGTCCCATTTTCTTTCAACATAATCTGTCGGTTCAGCCCGCTGCTTAGCATGTCTGTGTTCCCTAGAGGCTTCCTGACGTTTTGCTATGGCTTTCTTAACTTCCTCATCCAACCAACTCTTGGGCTCGTGTCTTCTTTTCCGGGGTGACTTGTCACGTGCCTTAGCAAGCTCTACCTCAAACAGTCTAATTAGATTCATGTATGTCCACACCGTTTTATTATCGTCAGCGATTACTTTCTCAATTTGTTTATTAGCAATTTGTATTTGCCTTTTTCAATGAAAATTTTTTTGTAGTTGCTCATCTTGTCTCCTTTCCACTTTCGCTGCTTTTCCAAAACTTAACTTGATACGTTTGTGATCACTACCCAGACTTCTGGGGCCACCTTCATCTATGTGCATTCCCCTGAGCTTATTGTACATCCTATGTGACATCAGTGCGTAATCTATCGTTGACTGCAGCCTTCCTACCTCCCATGTTATTCGCCCTTCACACTTCTCAGTACTGTTGCAAATGATGAAATCATTCCTTTCACACATATCCATGATCATTTTGCCCGTTGAGTCAGTATACCCAACTATATCTTCTATGTGCGCATTCATATCTCCTAGTATAATTATCTCGCACTCTCCTCCTAATTCCTCAATGTCCTTTGATATACACTCCACCATTGCCTGGTTTGCCTCTCTTGCCTTTGCTCCCGTCCGCAAGTACACCAAACCGAGGAGTGTAATCTGCCCAGCTTCTTTCCCTCTTAACCATAAATGTTCCATGCATCCCTGCTTGACTCTTTGCCAACCCATGCTTTTTATGTATAAATGCACCAATTCCATCCCCCCTTTTGCTGCCTTCTGTTCTATAGCAATATTCCCATACGTAGTCCGGATTGCAAGGTGGTTTCTCCATGTCCCGAAGATGTGTCTCCACGACCCCATATACCACCAGCTTTGCCTGCCTCAACTGCTCTTCTATCTCTTCCCACTTTAACCTATTCCTGCCACCCTGCATGTTAATATAGCCTATGTCTGACTTAGCTCGGCCCTTGTGCTTACGTCAATTTCTTCTCCCACGGACTACGTGTGGCTCGAATATGTGTGCCCCTTTAGAACCGTCTTCGGCTACACTGTTGGCGTCAGAGCTCTGGGTACCCCTAAAAATGCTGTGGCTTGACGACCCATTCTATTACCAACCATCCTGCCCGTCGCACCACTGTAGAATGCCATCCTGTGCAAAGGGGCGAGCGCCGGGCTCGTACACGTCTTGGTTAACTTCCATCACGTTGTATCCGAGTTGCCGACTTATACCCTTGATCACACAATTGGCCTCCACTACCCTCCTTTCAATCCCGCTAGACTACCCCCAGACCTCTGGGACTGTGCATACGGTCACATGCACACTCCCAGAGGCTTCTCGGAGCTGACGCATCTCATCCTCTGTCTTTGAAGGTTCTGATACTCTCCCTTGAACACATCATTGAGCCCAGCATGAATAATGACGATATTTTCGCCTTCCATGCTGTTCTCTACAACCTCCTGAGCGTTGGCCAGTGCATCCACCATGCTCTTCCTTGAATGGGCTTCTACCCTGACTCTCCCATCTTTCTTCACTGTCTTGAAGACGCCATCCCTAAGCCTGGCCACGTTAGAGTCTACACCACCAGGACCCTTCTACGCTCCAATCGCTGCCTTCCTGTTTCTCTCTCTGCCCTCTGTCCTGTGTTTCGGCCCTGCTCGAAGGATGCTGCGCCACCGAGCTGTATGTTCTCGGAGCCTCCGTGCTGTGGCCAGACACTTCGGCCCCCTGACCTCCCTTCGATCGCAGTGCCGGAGTGCCCTCTAGTTAATTTTAGGAAACTCTATGCCTTCTAGTGCACTCTAGCCAGAGTCCCCTCTAGTTAATTTTAGGAATCTCTATGGCCCAAGCTTAGCCTTCTAGATTTCTCTTGCCTGCTGGATGAGCGTGAAACGCCCGTCATATATGGCGGCGCTTTCTACGTAGAAGTAAGGGTCATTGTACTTGGCCTTCAAACTTGGTAATTTTGGCGTTTGTTACAAATCTTCAAGGCTATGTCTTGTATTACAAGAATTGCTTGTTAAATGACAATGTCACTTGCCTAGGGTAATTATAATTACGTTTACGCCTTCTTAAAACGTTTTCACGTTATTTTTGTTGAATACGAGCTCCAAAAGCGTAAAAACTTATTAGAAGACACCCCTACTTAGGTGACGCCACACCAGAGTTCCGACGACGGCCGCTTTCCAAGTGGCCGCCAATAATCCGGCAGGCAAGAAAAATCTTGGAGGCTATGGCCCAAGCGAACGCCGATAATCCGGCAGGCAAGGGAAATCTAGGAGGCTGTCTCCATTATCGTTCCGTGTAGGTGGCGTTTGTACGTTTGGACCGTTCGACAGGCAAGCCCTTTTGGCGCTTTTCGCGTGCTGTACTTCTGTACCTCAACAGCCATAGGAGCTGAGTCTTAAGCACCTAGCTTTTTTTACTGCCACGCAACTACAGCCGGCGTTTTGATATTCTCGGCATGGGCTCATCTGAGTCGGACGCAGCGCAACAAGTCATGTTCAACGCAAAGGGTATTACGCTCATAAAGGAGGCCGTCAACGGACTCGTGAAGTCGCCAGAGTCAGAGACCCGCGTGCTTGATACGCCAAAGATCAGTCTGAGCAACATGAAGTCTCGAATTGACGCAGCACTAATGGTGTCGGCTGGATCGTCCAATGCCAACAAGCAGTCGCGTCCTCCCGAAGAAGACGCGTCATCGCCCGGTCCCTCTCGGCGCAGCGGCAGAACGATGATTCTCCGCGAACAGCCAGCGCAGCCGCCGCTTAAGAAACCCAAGGTAGAGCCGCAGAGTGAATCTCAAATTGGCGACACTCCGCGATCGCTCCGTAGCGGGCGCAACTACAACGATTCGCCGGCTGCCCAGAAAGTGGCTACCGTGCCGGCCTCAAAGACTGCGAGCGCCGGCGTGTCGACACCGGCCGCCGCTAAACAAACTGCTGCACCAACAACATCGCCGCCAACGACTACAACGTCGTCGCCACCACAGAAGCCTGCCAAGCAAGCCTCGCCAAAGGCGGGGTCATCGAGCTCGCGGTCGAAGCAAGACTTGGCAGATCCACTTCCCGACCTCTGGCGCATCTCGCCCAAGATAGCTGAAGAAATGAAAAGTATTGCATTCCGGCATTTTCATTTTTCCATCTAACTGCGTGCGTGCATTACCGGCCTGGGCTTCCAAGAATTTTATAAACCCGTTTTCCGAGTGCTAAATGTTTTTGTAATTGTCAGAAACGCCGTCATCGATTTTGCGGTGTTTCGAATGTTTTTTGGCACAGCTTGAATTTTAGCATCGTAGCATTCGTAACTTCCAAATCAATTGCTTTTGGCCCTGGCTGGTTTTGTGTTTTGGTGCCCAGATGCCACAGAGTGGCAGCAACATGCACTCAGTTTTTTTGTTGTCAGGTTTCAGATTTTCACCACAATGTGTATTGTCATGTACTCATAAACCTTCAAAATTTTTTTATATTAGTGTAATATTGGGCATGGATGTGCCGCATATTATGAAGGTCGCGACAGGAAGATGCACTCTTTGGTCATTTGGCATGTACTTTATTGCCAAGTTTTAAAACCTTAGCAAGGGCTCGTGTCTTTCGTGTCCTTCTTGTCTCCGTGTCGTCGTTTCGTTCTCGCACCATAACTATCATCTTAGCAAGTGGGCTTGAATGGTGTTGATACAAAATATGTCCAAGTCAGTGTTACCATCTTTCATGCTTCTTATCAAAATTATGCACATATTATTGAACCATATATTTGTAATTTGTATATAGCCCCCACACCCAGCACCTCATTGCATTAGCAGCTGTTCATATTTACTTCTGCAAGTTGTATTGGTGAGCATGCTTTTTTCTTTATATTGTAGGGTGTACTGCCTTGGGATGCATTTTTTTTCTTTTGCAGTGATGTTGCAAGCACATGCTGAATATGCTTGATGCAGGCTAGCTTCTGTAATGTGAAAACCAATGCAAAAATTAGCCTGCCTTCAAGATGTTGCAAATATACAGGTAACATTTTCTTTCAAGGAGCTGAGTATGTGTCTATGCCAGCATGTTAATGCAGTAGGGATGTTATGATGGTGCTGTTTTAACTACATTTGCATGTATCACCCAATACAGCATATCATAGTTCAGGTTTTTGTGCATGTAGCAGTTCATTATATACATAACTCGTTCTTATGCATTGAAATTTTTGCCTACAGTGTAATCAGAAAGTCTCATGTGGCTCTGATAACCATGACCTGGAAAATTCATCAATAGTGTTGGCTCTAGGAGTAACGGGGACACTCTAGGTGCCCACCAGTGCGGACACGCGAAGATAGGCTCCTGCTTTCAAGAATGCTTTCCTGTGGTATCCACGAATTAGTCGCCGAGTTTTCAGTCCCACCGTGTGCCTTAGTTCTCAAGAAATCAGCAGATACCATCTTTGTGCTGGTGAGTGGACTTTTAAACCATTTTTGGGACATTTTTACACGGCAACGCCACCGGGGGATTTAAGCCTAACCAAGGAGGCGATTGTCGCCGATGCGCCGACCCGGCGCCAACGTGACTCAACGCTCTGCGCGTTCCAGGACCTGCAACTGAGAATGGAATACCAAGTAGATGGAGAGGACATCTCTCCAGAGGATCGCATGGAAGACATGGGTTGGAAGGAAGCCGAAACGAGATGCTCAAGGAATAAGCTAGCTGCGGTCATCATTCCTGCTGCCAAGGGTTCGACCAAGGCTGGCGTTGCGGGAGACGCTCGAGACAGTCGTAGTAGGCATGACACCAAGCATACAATCGTGCGAGCTGGATGCATGCCGCCACTACCCAAGGACTTCAGCAAAATTGTGCTACGACCACGTGGAGGATTAAATATCTCGAGAATTGGCACTGGAGCCGTGGCAGACGCGATAGTACTGGCGGCCGGCGTCAAAGAGGAGAAGGCCATGCAGGACATCATCTGTTCCAACTTGCAGCAGAACATTATGGTGGCAAGCACTCCGGACCAAGACAGAGCGTCAAGATACCTCAAGGTCAAGCAAATTGACATTGGAGGCAAAGTTTTCGAGGTTAGCGCGTATGCCCCGGCACCCCACGATACTTGTAAAGGAGTGATTTGCAGGATCCCCGTAAGCGATACTCAGAACATTTTGACCCGAAAGATTGTGAACGCGAACAACCCGCTCGCGCTGCAGGCCAAGAGAATCAAGGACACTGGGACAATCATCATAGCATTGAGGCTGCGAGATCAAGAACCCAGATAGCCTACACCAGTGCAATCCAAGATGCAGGCTGTGCGACGGTCACCATCCCACGGCAGACAAGGAGTGCAAGAACAGGTTCTTAGTGCCATACGTCGCCAGACGCAGACGTTGGGAAAGATCGCGAGCAGCCGCAGAAGCCCGGGATGCATTAATCACATCGAGTCCAGACATCGACAAGCAGCTTATTCCAGCCTACGAAACCCAAAGCATCCAGACTACACAAGAACAGGAAAGGCGGCCCCACTCCAGGGGGAGGTCGCGTTCCAGAAGAGGTTCTAGACCCAAGACCCGCTCCCAATCACGGGGGCGCTCGAGTTCTCAAGGTCACCATCAGGGTCGGGATCAGCCTGGGCGGCACCCGAATGGCCAGCTGCCTGGCGTTCAGTTCGAGATCACGGCTTCCAACCCGGGGAGGACGCCTGCAGTTACATCGAAAGGCAGCTGGGCTGAGCGAGTGCGCAACGGCGCGGCAGAGGTGATGACAGGTAAGCTGCCAGAGCATGATAGAATTGCACAGCTAGAGCAAGAAATCGCGAGACTTACAAAATCGAATGAGAGGCTATCAGCTGAGTTAAAGGAAATAAAAATTCTTCTCACTAAGCTAACCAGCGTGCAGTCTTCATAGCCAATGCCTCAGCCAGTTGATGTCCCTGTGGTTGAAAACGTGGGGGACTCGAGAAGCACAAAAAAGAGGGCAGTCATGGCAGAACACGTGGAAGCCAACCAAACGACCATGTCAGATATGAAAGAGGTCTTTGACACACTCAGCAAAGTAGTAGCCAATCTTAGCGAGCAGATGGGTAGGCTACAATCAAGTGTGGCGGCACTGGAAGAGCATATGACTTTGCGCATTACAAAGGTCGAAGCATATCTGCACAACACAGCAAGGCCTCCTCATGCACCAAACTCACCTCTTCGGCCACCAATACTGGTGGTACCAAACTTGTCGACAGGTGCAGCATCGGGCTCTGGCGGCCCATGTAATAACCATGATGGCAGCGCTACGTGAAGCATGTCGTATCTGGCAATGGAACTGTAGAGGTTACCTTAAAAAGAAGGCAACCCTACAGCAGTATGTCAGGAGCAGCCAAGAAAAGCCTCATATTATATTATTACAAGAGACCCTTTCACCGCAAGTAACGTTGCCTGGATTCCGGCCTGTAATAGGGTATACTGAAGGGAGGGGAGTCTGCACTTTCGTATGCAAAAAACTAACGCACGTCACCCACGACCTCAAGCTAGAAGCAGGCCGGTTGGGAAATGTCATGGTAGAGATCGTGCCAGGTACCAGCAACCGTCAGAGCATTTTCATTCTTAATATATACAGCAGTCCAAAGAAACAAAAGCAAGGGTTCAAGGCGGTTCTAAAGAAAGCTGTTAATATCGCCGGGGAATGTCCACTCGTCATAGCAGGTGATTTCAACGCCCCTCATCATACAAGGGGTTACAAGTACAACACTGGGAAAGGAAATCGACTTTGGCAAAGTGCCAGTGAACTTGATCTCACCCTAATCACAGACCCCAGCCTACCAACAAGGCTTGGTACATCTTGCTGCAGGGATTCCACCCTGGACCTTACATTTGTAAGGAACATCAAGAAGCCCCAGTGGATGAACCTTGCTGTAGACCTAGGGAGTGACCGCTGCATTCTTGCCACTACCTTCTCCGTGGAGCGTAAAAAGCAGAGAGAATTCCACTTCACAGACTGGGATAAGTTCAGGAAGATAAGGATGGAAAGGGAACAAGATGGCCACAGACAAGGCTTGGAGCAGTGGGTCAAACAGATTAAAGAGGACATCAAATCTGTCTCCTCCATCATTACCACAGATTTTCCAGTTGAAAGAATAGATAGCCGGCTCGCTCATCTTCTTGAGGCAAAGCAAGCACTACTGAACCCTTGGAAGGGTCAGCGCCTGAACCGAAGACTGAGGAAGAAGATAGCTGAGGTAAACAGATCAGTCGAGGAACATTGTCACGCACTATCCAGGCAGCAATGGGACGAAATCTGCAACTCCGTCGATGGTCAGATGCGCAATGGCAAGACATGGAATATGTTAAAACATCTCATCGAAAACACCACCAAAACAAATCAAAAGCATGTTATCGCTCGAACAGAACAGCAAGTTGCGCAGCGGCTCGTGCATAAGTACCTCCCAATCAAAAGAGGATTGGCACCACCAAGTAGACAGTACCAGGGCACGCCCAATCCAGGTCTTGAGGGCGACTGTAACATCGAGGAGATCAGAAGAGCCTTGCATGATCTCAACGACAGGTCAGCCCCTGGCTTGGACGGTATATCAAACAAGGCCCTTCGTAACCTTGATGACGATTCAATTGAAACCCTGAAGGATATGATCAATGCAGCATGGAGAGAAGGCAGGGTGCCAGAGCAGTGGAAGCTGGCGAGCACGATCCTTATTCCTAAGCCAGGAAAGCCCCCTAACTTGGACAACATGAGGCCAATATCCTTGACATCATGTATCGGCAAGGTTGCAGAACATGTCATACTGCACAGAATAAACAAGTACTTGGAAGATAACGACATATATACACACAATATCGTTGGATTCAGGGCAGGGCTATCCACACAAGATGCATTGAAGCTTATCAAACACCACGTCATCGACAATGAAACCAGAGACGTGAGAGCCATTCTGTGCCTAGATCTAGAAAAAGCGTTTGACAACATCCACCACTCATTCATACTTGAAGCAATTTCCAAGCTTGGTCTGGGGAAAGCCTTCTATGACTACGTATGGTCCTTTCTTACAGATCGGAAAGCCGTGATGAAGATTGCAGATATCGAGATCGCAGCAATCGAGCTAGAAGCAAGGGGCACGCCGTAAGGGGCAGTGATTTCACCAACGCTGTTCAACATTGCCATGATTGGACTGTCAAAGAAATTATCGAGCATTGAAGGATTGAAGCACAGCATCTACGCATATGACTTTACCATCTGGTGCACTGGTGGAAGCGAGGGGCAGATTGAGAGCGCTCTGCAAGAGGCGATTGACACCGTAGAAGAGTACCTTCGTCCTTCTGAGCTCAAGTGCTCCTCAAGTAAGTCAGAACTTTTACTGTATCGGACTGCACATCGGGGACCGAAGCCCAGGGGATGGAAGCCGTTAAACCAGATAGACATCCACCTCCGTACAAATCAAGGGGATGCCATCCAGAGGGTCGACTCCATCAAAGTCCTGGGTATGCTGATAGAGTCTACCGGCACCAACAGCAAATCTATAGCCAAGTTAACTTGGAAAACAGACAGTGCGGTGCACCTCATACGCAGAGTGGCCGACAAAGGAAATGGGATCAAGGAAGACGACCTCATCAGGTTGATGCAGGCGTTTGTTCTAAGCCACTTCACGTAGAAGGCAGCAATGCACAACTGGTCAAGAGCAGAGTCCGAGACACTGAATGTGCTCCTCAGGAAAGTTATCAAGAAGGTCCTGGGCCTACCCATACATACCAGTACCGAGCGTCTACTTGAGCTTGGCATTCACAACACGCTCGAAGAAATAGCAGAAGCCCAAGAGAGAGCACAGTTTGCAAGGTTATCTACAACAAGGTCAGGGAGAATGATCCTGCAGGAGCTGGGCCAACACCCAATGGCAATCGGACGCAATTACAATGATATCTCCGACAACATCAGGGAGAATATCACGGTATCTCCTATACCAAGAAACATGCATCCAGAACACAACATTGGAAGAAGAGTAGCGAGGGCCAGGACTATACTTCGTCAAGTCTCAAACGAGGAACGAGGGGTCGTATTTGTTGACGCGGCTTCCTACGCCAATGGGAAAGCGTTTGTGGCAGTTGTGGTCGATGGGGCTGGCCGTGTCGTCAACTCAGCGACGGTAAGGACGAAAGACCCAATCATTGCGGAACAGGGGGCCATCGCCTTAGCACTCAAGATGGATAACATTGAAGTCATCTACAGTGATTTCATGGCAGCACTACGGCGTTCGCCAAGGGGAAGGTCTCTGAACAAACGCTGAGAATACTGCAAGGCAAGAACATAACACATCATCTTCCGAGTTGGTTCCCAGCTCACCTTGGACAAATAACGATTCCCCTCCCAATCTCA